TACCTCTTTTTTGTATGTGTATGTATTTGCTTTCTAGAGGGCAGAGTCTATAATTTTTTTTTTCTAGGGTGAGTTAAATTCTACAAATCATATTCGTTTTTCATTCACTCATAGATACATATTTTGTTTTAGAATATTAATTACAATTGATTAGTGTAACTAATTCAGTGTCCTATAAATCTCTTATCATACATTGCCTTTGCTATCACTCAACCTATCTAGTTATTAACTTTTACTCCCCTCCCTCTCCCTTTGCATCTCTCTTAACCATCTGAGAATGATTCTATCTGTAGTGTGAATTCAGGTACCTCTTCTATTAATAGTCAGACTCCTGCTCCTGTTTTTGTTTGTACCTTACTGAGTCATCTTATCATATGAAATTGGCAAAACTGTGGAGGATCTTGTCAGAATTTTAACTTTTCCTCTGAGATAGGAAGTCAAAGTTTCTTTGTAAATGTCTGAGGGAGACTGGCCTTTAGAACTCTGAGTTACCAATAAGTCTGAACATTATAGGAAGCCTAGCTGACAACATATAGTTGAGAACCCCAGATGAAATCCCAACTGACAGCCAGACATGTGAGTGAAGATGTTCTTCACTGTCACCTCAGGAATCACTCCCAGTCAATCATTTCCAGCAAAGCTACAGAGCAAAGGCATTCCCACTGTGCCTGCCCCAATTCTGGACCAATAGAATCTGTGAACTTAAGAAAATCTGCTTTAAGCACCTTATAGAGTAGTTTGTTTATGTAGTCATATATAAGAATAACTAAAGAAAAAAGTTTTGACGTATTCACTCTTTTAGTATTGCACAATAGGAATTTTTTTTCCACCACCATAAATAATGTGAATATCAGTGTTCATGTCTCCTTATAGGTCTAGTTAAAGATTATTTTTGTTGCTGCTTTGTCTCTTACTATAAAGAAATCTATTTCTTATATATAAATGAATATCTCTAAACATATTTATTTAGAAAATTATTGGCTCTGTGGCCTGCCATTTGAGGCCATCAGCTGCTTCACAGGAGAAAGATGAAGCAGATTGTTTCTGTAGAGATTTATAAACCCCTCTGTACTGTAGGCAGGAACTCCAGTGGCCTAATAGCAAAAAGATTCACTGCAATCCCAAAAGCAGTAGTTTGAATGCAGCAGATGCTCCACAGGAGGCAAAGAGCAAACAACTGTTTGGTAAGGTCTCTGCGAGTTGAAATTGATTCGATAGGTGTGAGTTTTTGAGTTGAAAATGACTTGATATCAGTGAGTTCGGCTTTTTGTGGTCTGTAAGAATGAGGTGAAATAAAAAAGAAATAAAAATCACAAGGAGACATGTTATTACTGTCTAGTTGGAAATGACTCACAGCTGACCCTCCAGTAGGATTTCAGAGGCTGTATGTCACATGAGAAGATATTGCCCATTTTTCTCCCTCAAAACACCTGATGGATGTGAATGGTCTTTTTGGGTTGGCACCATCATATCCTATGCTCCCAGAGCTCAGAAGTGGCAGGAAATTACACACTCTAGCTATTTACTGTCATTACATTAAGCACTAAAAATCTGTTGTAGTGTGTTGTGCACTATAAAATTCAGGCCTGGTAGTGGTATCGTGAGCACAATTGAGAACAAGACCCCTGTGGTAGAAGTCATCTTTGTAGGGATAGTATTTTCCTTCTCCTTTTAAAAATGATACTAGTTTATTTACAAAATTAGAATATATTGTTTTCCACACCAGATTCTTCCAATTTCCCTTACCTCCTGCCCCATTAAATTGTACAACCCCATGATTAATTAGTCCCTCTCGCACACACACATCCTCATCCTTCTGCTTCCACCTCTCTTCCACGGATCTCATTCTACAACAATGGTTTTATACCATATTTGCCTTGTGGGACTGAGTTAGTTCACTCTGCATAAGGCTTTCCAGTCCCTCTCAAGTTAGGTAATAATTTACAAAATCAATGCTCCTGTATGCTGCGTTGTATTCTATTGTATACATGTATCATAATTTCTCAATCCATTTGATTGTGGTTTGACATCTAGGCTCTTTCCATGTTCTAGAGATGGTAAATAACGCTGCTATGAACATTGGTGTACAAGTCTCCGTTTGAACCTCCGTTCTTATTTTCTTGGGGTATATTCCAAGCAATGGGATAGTTGGGTCATATGGAATTTCTATGAGGAAGCACCAAACTGTCTTTCAGAGTGGTTGAACCATTTTACAATTGTGGGGATAATTTTATGACACAACTAGATATAAGCAACTGATTTGTCTGCAAAAAAAGTATTTGTCTCTTTGTGGTGGCAAGAGTCATAATTTTATGACACTAGATTTTCTTGAGCGAAATGTGGAGCAAATAACCGGGTGAAAGATGTCTTACCTCAGTTGATAAGATAGAGACAGGCAGATCTGAGGGCTATCAGCTGAGAGGTTAGACGCATGAGTTTGGTCCAGCTTCCAGCTCCTCTTTTATTTTCCCGTTTCCAGTATAATTTTTATAAACAGGCCCTAAAAAACCCCTAAAAAACCCTTATGGACAATAGAGGGCAAGGTAGGAAGTATTGGTCAGCTACTTTTAAAATGGAAGGTTTAGATCTGCTGTTCATAGGATCACCATGAGTTGTATTCGACTTGATGGCACCTAACAACCCAACAGTTTTTATAAATGACAAAACTGCACTTTTACATCCTGGGGGTACAGTCTTTTTATCTGGAAAGATAGTAAGATACCAGATCAACACATTTGAGAGGTAACTTACTCAATATACTAGTGCTTCTTTAGAAGACTGTCATGGGGAAATCAGTTTTATAAATATCAAATTAGTTCCCCCCACCCTCGAATTTGAAGGAAGGGTATAAAACCTGCATTGGACAGAATATGGGCAAAGACAAAAAGAGATGAAGTTATTTCAAAGACTTTCCACCAAGAGATAAGTAAAATATGTTCACAAGTAACACATATAGCACAAGTAGAGCACACAGAAAACTAACACACATAAAGGTTGAATGGTCTGCATAAAACCATAAAAGTCCTTGGTTGTAAAACTATCTTTACATTAGTTGTGTATGCTCTCCTGGAAGGTTGAAGATAAAGCTCTATTGAAGGATGCTTAAAAAACCAAACCAAAACAAAACAAAAAGAGAGAGAAGAAAGAAAAAGAGATCCTCTAAAATAACTGTTGCTTTCGTGTTGATGCTGAGTTATTGTGGCTCCACTCTTAAATATAGAATCAAGTTTTCACAGAAGCAGATTTCCATCTTTAGTAGTGCTGATGTGGTAAATTTTAATTACCAACCTTTAGGTTAGTAGCCAAGCACTAACCAGCACCCAGGAACCTACCTCACTGAAAGACACCACAGTAACAAAATATTCTTCAGCCCTTTCCCCCGATTTCTTCAGGTGAAGACAGAAAAGGAATCAAAGCCTGGGTGTTTATTCTAGCAGTTACATGTGTTAAGAAGACCTTTCTGAGTGAGTTACATGGTTGTTTCCTAGAGACAACAGAGGAAGAATAGATGGAAAATAATCATTGGCTAACTTTTGTTATCTTTATCTTGTATTCTTTGCACAAGATAGATTTTATCAAGTTTATAATTCACAGATATTCTATCACAGGAGAGGATTTGCAGGATGTTAAAGGTCACCGTGTTTCCTTTATTTCTGTGAATTTGCTGTTATGTGATGCATTCTTTAATGGTTTAGATTTTACTCTGCACTCCAGAGACATCTGTCAACCTAATCCTAATTTCTTCCTTAACAGCTTTACAAATGAAAGTCTATCAAGAGTGAACAAGACGAGTCTCACACAACCAAGTCTCTCCCTGGTAGACTTTGCAAATCATCAACTACAACCTAGTGAGTGTCTTTCTTCAAGAGTTCCAAGTGAGTATTTAAAATGGCCAACAGATTGTTTTTAGATAAAATATACATATGCTTTTTTTTATGGAAGCTTTCATCAATATATGTACTTGATTGGTCTTTGAGGAAAGACTATAATACCTATTTCGGCTTGGTCATGTAATTTGCTGGATGGCGCAGATTGGAGAAGTGGCCTAGTTAGGCTAAATAATGTAGCACAGTGCTGGAACACTGTAAGTACCCAGTAAGTTTTATATAATTATCATGCACCGATAACTTACACAGCAAAAAGACCTGTTTCAGTGTTTTATTTGCATTTTCTTAATATTTGCATAAGCCTGTAAGGTAGTTAACATCCCTTGCAGACAGTAGTTCTGGGGTCTGATAAGTTCTATCCGTTCTGGTTTTTCCTGTGTAAGAAACTTAAATTGTTGTTGCTTTGTGCCATCGATTCGCCTGTCACTCTGCACATCTCTAAACTCTGTCCTGTCCTGAGCCAGTCTTATTGGCTTCGGGCATACTAAACCCATTGCCCCAGTTACCGGGTCAATCCATCTCCTCGGGGTCTTTCTCTCCTGCGCAGTCCTTCCACCTTTCCTAAACGTAAATTACTGCTGCTATTTTTCCTCTTTTGAGAAACAGGATTGATGATTAGTACCTACTTTGGAGGCTGCTCCCACGGCATGTGCTTGTTCCACAGATAGAGAAACTGGATCTAGAGTGGTTAAGCAAGCTATTTATTTGGTCAAATAGCAAGTGGTGAATCTGTTTAGCCAGACACTATTCTCAGTCCAATAAGGGCATAGGTGGGTTTTTTCCCCCCACTTTGCCTGCTTCTATTGTTTGTGACACATTTTCACATTTATTCTTTTTGCTTAAAGCACTCATATCCATAAGTCTACAGCACTTTTTCTCATTTCTGAAAGATTCACTGAACTGCCTACCTGTCCTCAGAGCCTCCACGCCTCTGAGAGGTCCAGGTAGGTGCCTCCACGTTAGTCTGGTACAGAGGGAAGGGGCGGAGCTACAACTGGTAAGCTTTCCCGCCTGTGTTCCTTCCAGTTTCCAGTTTGGTCCGATTGATTAAAATAAAAGGCGGACCATTTCTCTCAACCGCGCCGTTTCTTTCTCTGGGCTGTTTTGTTTAAAATGTCTGGACGCGGCAAAGGCGGAAAAGGTCTTGGGAAGGGAGGCGCTAAGCGCCACCGAAAAGTGCTCCGGGATAACATCCAGGGTATCACCAAGCCCGCCATCCGCCGCCTGGCCCGGCGTGGCGGCGTCAAGCGCATCTCCGGCCTCATCTACGAGGAGACTCGCGGGGTTCTGAAGGTGTTCCTGGAGAACGTGATCCGGGACGCCGTCACCTACACTGAGCACGCCAAGCGCAAGACCGTCACCGCCATGGACGTGGTCTATGCGCTCAAGCGCCAGGGTCGTACCCTCTACGGCTTCGGAGGTTGAGATTTTATGCGCTATTTTCCCTAAAGGCTCTTTTCAGAGCCACCTATATTTTGAAAAAGGACTGGAATACACAAGGCTATTTAAAAACAACCCTAATTGCCCCCTAATTAGGAGACAATTCTCTCCCGCTCGAAGATGTTGACGAAGGAGTTCATGATGCCCATGGCCTTAGAGGAGATGCCGGTGTCGGGGTGGACCTGCTTCAGCACCTTGTACACGTACACGGAGCAGCTCTCCTTGTGGATGCGTTTGCGCTTCTTCCCGTCCTTCTTCTGAGCCCTGGTCACGGCTTTCTTGGAGCCCTTCTTAGGAGCAGGGTTGGGTTTTACTGGTTCAGGCATTATGAGAATAAGAAAAAAGGGCAAACAAAAAGCTGACTTGGCTTTATTTATAGGGATTTATGCAAATGAGGAGGAAGGCACTCCTTTGGTTATTGGTGATTTACTTTGATGATGTCACAGTCTAGGTTTGCCCAATCAAAAATCTACAGTTTGTAATATCGCATTGTCATTGGTCTAAATGAAAACAGTACATTAACCAATGGTACCGTATTCTTTTCGCGCCCATTAGTACCTATAAAAAAAAAGTGTTTGCAGGCCCGAATTACTGTTAGTTAACATTTAGCAGCATTTAGACATGTCAGGTCGTGGGAAGCAGGGCGGCAAGGCCCGCGCCAAGGCCAAGACTCGCTCTTCCCGGGCTGGTCTGCAATTCCCTGTCGGTAGAGTCCATCGTCTGCTCCGCAAAGGCAACTATGCCGAGCGGGTGGGCGCCGGCGCTCCGGTCTACCTGGCGGCGGTGCTGGAGTACCTGACGGCCGAGATCCTGGAGCTGGCGGGCAACGCGGCCCGCGACAATAAGAAGACGCGCATCATCCCGCGCCATCTGCAGCTGGCCATCCGCAACGACGAGGAGCTCAACAAGCTGCTGGGGAAAGTCACCATCGCGCAAGGTGGTGTGCTGCCCAACATCCAAGCCGTGCTCCTGCCCAAGAAGACCGAGAGCCACCACAAGGCCAAGGGCAAGTAAAAATAAGCAGTTTACTACACCAAAGGCTCTTTTAAGAGCCACCTACGACTTCTTGAAGAGATCTGAGCACTAATTATAGACAATGTTCATCGTAATGAAACAATACATAAAAATTACTCCTTTTGCAATACCAACCTGTTAAGGTTCATAACAAAAGTGGCCTTTGTTTTGAGTACTATGAGGTCACACTTAAGGTGGTATACCTATAATCCTACCTTGTATCGTCTCTTGCTTGTAGGGCGTTGAATGTACATGGCCCTCCTGTCTTCACTGTCAACGTGTGCCCTAGGGTAAGCACGGTGTGAAAGCATACGAAATTGTTATTTTAACGGAAGCAAGGACTATTCAGTCTCTATGGGAAGTTTTATGTACCAAACGTCAGGCGCTATAACCCTTTAGATTTGAGTTGTGGTCCTGTACAAACGCAAAGTTAAGGAGATGGCCGTGCACCATGCACTTGATACGGAACCAGGCAGTAACTAGCGAAACACCTTGAAGCAGGCTTGCTACGCTGGAGCGAGACATTGGGGCCTTTAGGAATTTAGTTACCGATGTTCCGGGGGTATAAGGGCAAGAGCCTTGATCTAAAAAGAAAGCAGTTGATGTCTTTTGGAAGCAAGGCTTAGTCTGTCACAAAGACATTGACACCGGAATTCCCAAATCTGGGGACCTGTTCTGCCCTCAGCAACCACCTTCATTCAGCACAGCACCTATAGTAGTTTACATGCCTTAGGGGAGTAGACAACTACTAGCACAGCAAGGCCAGGTGGCAACACCTCCAAATCAAACTCACTGCTGTTGAGTGGATTTTGAGTCCGTGATCCTCCATCAGATTTCTGGGGCTGTAAGTGTGTAGGAGTGGAGACTGCCCTTTCACCTTTCGAGTAAGTGTGGATCCCACCAAGTATGGATTAGACCGCCAATCCTTGGGTTACCAGCTCAGCACGGCTCTTTTCTTCCATGGGTGCAGACCAGGGGCAAAATCTAGACTCAGTCTAATTTTGGAAATGGAGTTTTAGTAGAGGGAGGGGAGGAAGATTCTTGCCTTGTAGAACCAGGGACAGTGCTTAGAAGATAGAATGTAACATCTGGCACCTGATTTTGGGCAACGCAACAGTTTTTTCTCTTGAGTGTTTTATTCCTGTTCCCTTTACCTGGTTCACAAATAAAGATACAAGTGTTTCAGGGCAAAGCATGCCCTATTGTTTAATCGTATTAAAAATATTAGAGCTTGATGCCCAATGGGATAGATTCTGTAAGAACAACTGTTCTAGGATAGAGGAAACATTATGCTGTAAGTTTAAGAGTGTATATTCTTTAGTAAATTTTCTCTTTAATGTTTCATATCCCAGATAAAAGTTCCTTATCAGGTGGAATTTTTTTAAGAGTATGAGATATGAGAAGAATAAAAGGAAGAGAGGGAAACCAGGGTTGTTCTTTTTAGTATAATAGATATTTTTTGCCAATTATGACTGATTACTTGATGTGTAGTTAAGCCGAATAAAGATGTGTTCTGCTTGGAAAATCCACACTGAAATTTAAAGATAGAAACCCCACACAAATTCACTCAAACTAAAAATGGAATACTTTTTAAAAAAATAGATTGCATGTTGAAATAATGTTATTTTGGCTATAATGACATGAGCAAATCCTATTTAAGATAATTTTATTATTTTATGTGTAATTAATCTAAAAAATGTGGTCATTATATAAATTTACCTTGTTCTCATTCAAAGTGCTGGTTTGTAAGGAAAATACGTTTGTTGGGAATTCAAGGCACAGACAATGAAGAATACCAGAGGATTTGGTACTGAGCAAATAAAACGATTCCTTAACCAATCCGATTGTGGTAAGATTGGCTCAGTTTTTAACCAATCAGGTTCTTACTGTCACTATAAATAGGTGGCATTACTGCATTGTCTTCACTTTTCACTTGCATCAATCAGGCCCTTATCATGGCTCGCACCAAGCAGACCGCCCGCAAGTCCACTGGCGGCAAGGCCCCGCGCAAACAGCTGGCCACGAAGGCAGCCCGCAAGAGCGCGCCCGCCACTGGCGGCGTCAAGAAGCCCCACCGCTACAGGCCCGGCACCGTTGCGCTGCGCGAGATCCGGCGCTACCAGAAGTCCACCGAGCTGCTGATCCGCAAGCTGCCCTTCCAGCGCCTTGTGCGCGAGATCGCCCAGGACTTCAAGACCGACCTGCGCTTCCAGAGCTCGGCCGTCATGGCGCTGCAGGAGGCGTGCGAGGCCTACCTGGTGGGGCTCTTTGAGGACACTAACCTCTGTGCCATTCACGCCAAGCGGGTCACCATCATGCCCAAGGACATCCAGCTCGCCCGCCGCATTCGCGGTGAAAGGGCTTAAATTATTTAGCTACAACCCCCCAAAAGGCTCTTTTCAGAGCCACCATATGTTGGAAAAAAGACTGTACTCTTTCAATTGGGCAGGCTCATGGCCCCTTTTGGACTTCATGGTTGGTTGAAATAAGATATGAACTACACATGTATTTTTTTATGTCTTGCTGATCGTTTTCTGCTAGGATTCTTATTGACACACCAGTTTGCAGTTCCTGTAATTTTTGTAACCGAATTTTGTGGGAAGGTAAAATCTTCGTCATTGATATCCCCAATATTTTAAGCCAATTAAAAAAAATTCCTCAAAAGTAGTACCTTAGCAGGAATTATTGGGTTTACTCCCCATGTACACATACTATTTACCCTCTCTAGTACCTGTATTTTAGAGCGGAAAAAACTAGTCTGAACCTGACAATTACAAAATTAAAGAACTTGCATTTTTTTTTCAAGTGAAACGGTGGTCATGCTGCCCTTTTTATGACTATAGTAGTGGCTCTGAAAAGAGCCTTTGTTTCTGTGGCTTCCCAAACTTCCTCTTTACTTAGCTTTATGGTGGCTCTCGGTCTTCTTGGGCAGCAGCACGGCCTGGATGTTGGGCAAGACGCCGCCTTGCGCGATGGTGACTTTCCCTAGCAGTTTGTTGAGCTCCTCGTCGTTGCGGATGGCCAGCTGCAGATGGCGCGGGATGATACGCGTCTTTTTGTTGTCGCGGGCTGCGTTACCGGCCAGCTCCAAGATCTCGGCAGTCAGATATTCCAGTACGGCCGCCAAGTAGACCGGAGCCCCGGCGCCCACTCGCTCGGCATAGTTGCCTTTACGGAGCAGCCGGTGAACGCGGCCGACAGGGAACTGCAGACCAGCCCGGGAAGAGCGAGTCTTGGCTTTGGCGCGCGCCTTACCACCCTGCTTTCCACGTCCAGACATAGTTAAGTAACAGAAAAGTGAGAACAAGATAGCATACAGCCAAAGTAGCCAAAATGCATTTTATAATCAATGATGGGTGCGAAAACAACGCCGTGTTATTGGTTAGTATGTTACTTTTTTTGTTTAGACCAATGGGAATGCTAGTTTGTAGCATGCTTGTTCTGATTGGACAATACTCACACATTGTGCAATCATTAAAAATAGCCAATAACTTTTGCACATTAACTTCCCTCATTTGCATAGGGGAGTATAAGTAAAGAGGGTAGAGGGTAGGAAGTTGTTTTCCTCTTGCTTTTTCGGGAATCATGCCGGAACCCACAAAATCTGCCCCTGCCCCAAAGAAGGGCTCGAAGAAGGCCATCACTAAAGTCCAGAAGAAGGATGGCAAGAAACGCAAGCGCAGCCGCAAGGAGAGCTACTCGGTGTACGTGTACAAGGTGTTGAAGCAGGTCCACCCCGACACCGGCATCTCCTCTAAGGCCATGGGTATCATGAACTCCTTTGTGAACGACATCTTCGAACGCATTGCTAGTGAGGCCTCCCGCCTGGCGCATTACAACAAGCGCTCCACCATCACGTCCCGGGAGATTCAGACGGCTGTTCGCCTGCTGCTCCCCGGGGAGCTGGCCAAGCACGCAGTGTCTGAGGGTACAAAGGCCGTCACCAAATACACTAGCTCCAAGTAAATCTCCTTTAAGGACTCGCCTTCCACTTAACCCCAAAGGCTCTTTTAAGAGCCATCTAAGCCTTCTAGGAAAGAGCTCGTTTGCTTTAATCATTAGCTGGTTTTATTTAGTTAACGTTTGCTTTCATAGGAGTAACCTTTATTCCTCGAAAGCTTACTATGAACCTGCATTTGGCAACTGGTTTCTGTACGCTTTCGATGACTAGTGATTCCCTTTTCTTGTTTGGGCTCAGTCTGCTGTAGGACTTAAGAAATCGCAGTAGCGATTTTGCCATATGTTTGTAAATAAAATAGTAAAGCTACTCTAGAGGTCCGAAGGTTTATTTCGAATAGCCAATATAGAGTATTGAGTAAGGTTGTAGTTGCAAGAAAGTTACCTCGCAGGACACAGGATTTGCAGGTTTCAGTTCTCCCTCCCCCACCCCCCAAATGATGCAGAATGAAAACTGGTTTTATTTTTCAGTCTCTGCCTACTAGGGTCTGGATAAATAATGAATTTACAAAATACGGTTTTTATTCAAAATTTGTAAATAAAAAAATAAAAAAGTCTACTAGCACAGATACGTGTGTCAGAAGAAATAAAGTGGTAGGAAAATGAAAAAAGTTTTCAGTTAAACGAGACAGAGTGCATAGAGGGTTCTGAATTTAAGGAATGTGGAGGCTGGGCACTTTTAAACTAGACCAACTACTATGAAGCTTCTCATTCTGGTAATTTACACTAGATGTGGTTAGTGGATTTTACTTTCTTGCCTAACAACAAAAGAGCTCTACTTCAACTGAATTCTGAGTCTTTGGGATGATTTACTTGAACTGTATGAAGAGTTGCTATAAGTTCGTATTGACTGCTAGGCAGTTTATATTTGGCGATTTGATGATACACAACAGCAACAATGTTGTAGAAAAAGATACTGCTGGCTTAAAAAGTAAAGGCTGTCATTAGGTTGTTGGCTAGAGAATACAAAGAAAGCAACAGACAACTTTGAGTTGAGGCTTCCAGGTAGAGCTGATCTTGGGTTTATAAGTGTTCTCTGATATTTTTTTACTTAAGTTTACTTTACTTGTGTATACAAAAAATATATTCTATTGACATAGTTGCTAATAATGTTTGAAGCCTGAGAGACTGGGGAGAGGAAAGCCTCAAGGAGGATCTTAGTGCAATTATAAACTGACATGTTGTAAGGAGGTCCTTGGAGAGGGACACCATGCTTGGTAGGGTGGAGGGACAGCGCCCAAGGGGAAGGCCCCCTATGAGGTGGATTGATTCAGTGATTGGGATAATAGGGATGGGTGTATCAGCGACGGTGCGATTGTCACAGGACAGAATAGAGTTTAGGAATGTTGTACATAGGGTCGCTATGAGTCACAAGAGACTCAATGGCACATGACAACAACAATATATACATGTATACCATTTATACACATATATAACTTATACACCATTTATTGTAAAAAACCAAACTCAAACTGAGTGCCAGAACACTGACACACAGAAAATAAGATTTTAAATGAAATGTATTTTAATTTTTACACACTGAAATTTCACAATATAGCCTTGTTGTGGCTGTTGTTATGTGCCGTCGAGTCGTTTGCGACTCATAGTG